TTAATACTTCTTTATCATGTTATTCATTTTTATGATTATTAATATTAATCATAGAATTTGTATTGTTATTTGTTTTATAAGGGTTATAAGGGGGATATAATAAATTATAACAACGGGAAATAATAATAATAATAGTTATTATTATTATTATTATTATTATTATTATTATCAATGTTGAGTAATAACAAATAGAAAAATTATGTTCATATTCATATACAAAGGCAGGAAATTGCATTTTTTTCTAATAAACAAACATAAAAACATGCATTAGCTGAAGGTGTATTCACACACTCACTGGGCCTCATGCATAAAACACGAACAGCACAAATTTGTTTAAACCATTAGTATATTAAATTTTTTGCTAGATCAGTGCACCACTGCTTATATATGAGGGCTCTGTTCCAGAAAAGCAGCACCGTTGAATGACTTTCACACACAAAAATGCCCACAGAAGTGGAAATCTGCTGACTGGTATTTAATGATACAGTGCTGTCCCATATTTCTGCTGAGGATTGCACACTCATGTGGAATTATCTCTTTTTATGGCCTGGGCTGACTTAAACAATTTTTCCACTGTGACTCAATATTATGTAATTTAATACGATGTTATTGGCTTTATGGTATATGACTGAGAGAACTTTGAATTTTCAACTCTTAACCAAATGGAAAGAGGAGAGAAATTAGTGTATTATTTCAGCATGCTGTGGTTGGCTACAAGACATGAGCTACAAAAACAGACCAGGATGGTGGATCATTTTACCCAGTAGGAAGAGAGAGTGAGAAAGATAAAGGGAGAGACATAAACAGACAAAAAGAATGATAATGAAAGAGTTACAGGAAAAAAGTAAAGAGGGAGTAGAAAAGAGACATGGAAAGAATAAGTGGTTAAGCGAGTTCATGTCTGACTCTGGGTCTGCGGTGGAGGCCACATTAATGACATCATACAGACGGATATGAATATCAGTCAGTCACTGGTACGTCTGTCCAGAGGTTGCTTTAGATAACATGTTTCTTGCAACCAAAATAGATCCAGCTGCAAACCAAGAGGATGTTCTTTCATAAAAACATCAATTTAAGGATACATTTGCTGATCACACTTGAAAATGAAACAAGGTTCTGATTCACAAATTAGGGTTTGATTCAAGTCTAACACTAAAAACGTGTTCATATGTTCAATTTCTGTTATTTTCCAGCTCTTCTTTTTTTTTAGTTCTTACACTCTTTAACTCTCTTGTATCAGCCTTTTTAATATAATTTAAATTGTGTACAGTTTGTTTTTGTAGTCCTTGTTGTGTTCCTACAGGAACGCAGATTCGTTTCGCTGTGTACAGGCTGTATAGAGCTGAAATGACAATAAAGCTACTCTGACTGAATCTCTGAAATTAACTAATTTTTTTCTGTAATTAATCGCGATTAATCGTGATTAATCCCACCTAACATAAAAGTTTTTAAATATACTTTTATATTGCAATAAGTTCACATTCAATCTTCAAATTAATGTAGAAACAACAAAGAGAGTATATTTTTAATATCTGTTTAAAGAAATTGTTTTATGACTGAAGGCGAGTATCACTGATACCAATACTACCAATGTCTCTATGAATTTTTTTTCCCTAATATTTAACCATTGACTAAAGCCATTCAACATTATTGTGAGCTATCAATTTTAACATTTATTAGGCTTTAAAAAAGAACAACTTCTAATTTAAGTGAACTTAAATCAATCTTCACATAAACCCATTATAATAAATGTCATATTTAACCGTGCCTTTCAGCAAGTAGGAAATATACAGAAATTGAATAAAGTTATCAAACACTAAATTCTAAATTAAATATAGATGAATCCTTAAAGCTACAAAAATTATTTCTTCTTTTTTCTTTTGTTCTCTGATTAACAGACACCACAGCAGCTGGGTTATTAGGGTATTTTGGCTGCTTTAAGAGCTGCCGCTGCTGAACATGACAGATCTGACACGCATACGGGTTTGGAACGACACGAGGACGAGTAATTAATGACAGAATTTTAATTTTTGGGTGAACCATCCCTTTAATATGAAATGATATATAGCACGTGCTGCTGCATTTGTGCAAGCACAGTATAACGCCTGACAGGACAGGAAAAAATTGGTTTTTCCTGACATATGGCCTGACAACATCTAATCTGACCGCAGTTCACTGTTTTTCTATTGATGCTCCCTCGTCACCAGTACCTTTTCCGTGTTCGTTTGACTAGCACTGAGGTGAAGTTGGAGTGCGCATCTGAAAAGTCTCCCATTTCCTTAGAAGCCAAAATCGAAATAAAAAAATTAAATTAGCTTAATAAAACCGCCACAGGCCTAAAGTGTAAGCAGAAGTTTGAATGTTTAGTTCTCTCTTCTATCATAATTAAACAGGGCTTTCATGTTGCGCGTGCTGAAGCTCCTCCGCGTGGGCGCGATCTCGCTTCTGAATTGCGAATAGCAAAAATGCATCATAGACAAATGTTTGAAAAACAGCTGGCAACTTTGGTGAGATAGAATTTGCAAGATAATGTATATATAGCAATAATAAATGTATGTGTGTTTTCTTAATTTCTCCAGTACCGATAGCAGAACCGTTAACGTCAGAGCTTATCGATACTCCGGTCTTTCATAATTTAGCCCCAGCACCGATTAAATACAGGGTTTCGGTACCCATCCCTAGTCTGCGACATGCCTAATTAGACTCGAACTGCACGGATACACCAGTGCAAACTGCTGCTGTTCATCCAAAACCCAGGAACATCTGTCATGATTTAGAGAGCAAGAACAGCAATCTGTGTTTTTGAGGTAGAGAGCCGCCCACTGACAAAACCCTGAGCTGCAGAGAAGCACCTCCCACCATCACTAGGCCAAAAAGTCACTTTAATTATTTTCAAAAGAATAATGAGAGAGACTGGACAGAGCGAGGGCAGCTGAGAGCACCGAATGTGTGTATCAAACCTGAGTGTCATCTTGTTCCTCCATGCTGTACTGTGCTCCACCAGGCCCTTCGTTCACTTTTTCCCCGAGCAGGAACCCCAGTCGCGTCATCAGTGTGTTGGCGGCCTCGTCTACAGATGGTGGAGGACCCATATCCTGGCTTTCTTCCCCTGCGAGAGAATTTAAGAGCGCAAGAGAGGTAAAACCATGTTTATGAAGTAAAAACTCACCTGTAGCGGTGCGCTCCAATGCTGCTGTTGCATAACACACAGCTTTTGTAAAACAGCAGTAGACACTGGTTCCTCAACCAAGGCTGCATTTATTAGATTAAAATTTCTGATTAGATTAAAAATACTACAATTTAAAATAACCATTTTCTATAAAAATACATATTCAAATGCAATTTATTCCTCTAATGGTAAAGCTAAATTTTCAGCAGTCATTACTTAAGTCTACTCCAGTGTCACATGATCCTTCAGAAATCGTTCCAATATTCTGAAATAAGAATGATTAGGCATAATCACGTATTTGGTATTTCCTAAACTATTCATGGACAGTCAAGATTTTTAAACATTGTGTAAATCTAAATAATTTTGGCATTCAGAGAAATTGCTTTCTTTGGCTTTTATGACAACATAGGGATTTTTATGATCCTTGCAATTCCACATTGTTCAATGCATACTTGGCAGCCTCAACCACATCCAGACTACCTATGGTCTCTTTCAAATTTTAGTCTCAAACAGCTCCATTGGAATTGGCCACTGTCAAACATCCCCATCATACATGTTTAAAAACCAAAAGACACAGCAGATAAGGACATGTAAACCAGCCACACTGCCAAAAACACTGTTGTGAATTAGCAGTGAGACCAGCCCAAAACCCCAAAATACCTCAACTGTAAAACACTGTGTCACACTAAACCACCTCACAATCCCTATCAGTAGGGTGTCGTAGTGTTTCACAGATGAAGCATCTGAGCCTGTGCGCTCATATACACAGTCAAAGGCTGATCGCTAGACTTCAAAAGAACAGGTGTCTAAATCCACAGTGAGAAGAGCTTTTTCAGGATTACTTTTTTCCCCCATGCCTTTCACCTCTCACCATCAGAACAGAGCCGAAGAGAACGAAGCCTTTCCCAGAAATACCAGGCGAGTTGCTACACCTCTAAGGCACAGACTCATCTTACTGTCAAACCTGTTCTCAGAGACTTGAAATTTCTCTCAGATAAACCAAAGCCTCAGGCAGCAGCTACAGTTAGATTTTATAAGTTGCCCTAAAAAGTTACTTTACAAACTGTCTGAAAGAAACAAAATCTTGAGATGAGTCCTGAACAACAAAGATCAACACAATAGATGCTACAGCTAAATATGCTAATTCTGTCAAAGCATGTCAATGGCTGTCTAGGTCTCAAAACCTTAAATGAGCTGAGCACCAAGGAATTTTTGGGCATCATAGGAGCATTTCAATATGCACATTTGGGAATATACTGTATATATTGGCTATTTTACAATGGCTTCATACAAACAGATAATAAAATGCTACAGCTAATTACACTAACTAGGCACAGCATCTCAAAGCATGTCAATCGTCATCTATGGCTTAAAAGCTCATGAGTTGAACACTTTTTTGGTAATCAAGTAATTGAAATAAAGTTGAAGCACTAAAATTACTAAGAGAAACACATGAAAAACTAACACTGCACTAAGAAAAATTAAAAACAAAAACAAAACTATAGCAAATAGCAATAATGAAAAATATAACAAGATACAATACAAAACAATAACAACAAAAAATTATACAAACTACAAAAGAACATAAAACTAAAATAAAAATGAAAACTGAAAATATAAGAAAGCTAATTCTAAATATTAATAAAAAATATAACGGTATATAAATAATACCAAAATAACACTGTGAACCTGGAAGTAGTAAATGGTGTTTCTAAGTTTCAATTTCTTTATTTCAAAATTATGCAATATCATTCAATATTAAAGTGCTGTATGCACAGAGCTTATAGTCAACTAAAGTGAAGCTATTGATTGTAATGCAAATGTATTATTTGTTAGATACCAAGTAGGATCATACAGGTTTTGTAAGAGTGATGCATTCAAAACCAACGCTTGCCACATTATTAGTTCGTTTTTGCCAAGTTTCGCATTTTGCTTCTGCACATGTTGTTTATGCAGCCTCTATTTAAAGCTGTGCAAAGAACAATGCTTTTTCCAGACAATATAACCAAGCCTACAAATTGGTTTCCTGTTTTAAATTTTGCGTCTCTATAATACAAGAATTGACACATGGGAATTCGTTCAGTTGAACACACTTTTTTTTTTTTTTGCAGTCGCAACACAAAAATGTTGTCATGGCAACTACAGATTTTCTAAAGATTGTGCTGAAGCATCTGTCTCTTTCATCCATCCTCCAACCAAACATTCTTCTTAAATTTTTACTCCATCGCTCCCTGGTTTTCCTGTACCTCCGGCGGGATGTATGTCACTTGTGACAGCGTATAATAAAGTTCAGAAACCCGTTAATGACACCAGCAGGAGCTGTAATAGTACAATTGTGGAAAATTCTGTTTATTACAAGCAGAAAGTCAGCAAGGTTTGTTTTTCTGCACTCTCTTTTTATTCTTTTGACAAACGGACAATGACATCCGTTTCAGAAAATGCTGTGCCTCTTCAAAAGTTCTCTGGCCCACAGATGGTAAAAAAAGAAGGAAAAAAGAAAAAAATACAACCATTCTGAACTGATGATTCACAAACATGCCAGCAACGGTGGTTTAAAGATAAGCCTGAGGATGCAAGCAAAAGAAAATATTCAAAAACATCCACATATTTTGTGGACCACACACATATCTTGAGGCATAACCATAAACAATCATTCTCACATACTCATGTATGAAAATCTTGCAGCTAAAAAAGCGCATCAGTGCACTTCTGTTTGAGTGATGATGAGCCATCTGATAATCAGACAGTCCACAGGGGGTGGGAGGAAAAAAATAGCAAAAAAGAATAAACACAAGATGATTTATGACCAACAGTTTTGTTATGGCTGAAATCCTGAAAAAAGTCTGGAGAGAGTAAATAATATAATACATTTATTTTTAAATTGTGTGCAATTTTTTTTTTTTTTTCTACAAACGTATATTACATTCATGTGTACGCTATAGGGATGTGCATCTCATGACTCAGGCCGATACGATACGCATCTCGATGCATAGCCAACGATACGATACTTTAAAGATACATATGAAGCAGCTACCGATGCGATGCGATACGATACACCCCATTACGATGCAGTGCGATCCGATTTCGATTCGATTCAACACAATACGATTCAATGCAATATGATGCAATGGAGAAAATATGATCACTTTTAATGCCTCAAGGCCTGTTTCATAAAACAAGTTAACCAAATAAGCCAGGCTTATTTCAGTTAGTCTGACTCATTGTCAAATGATTTG